AGATGTGGTTTTTTTTTTTTTTTCTCTCTCCTAAGGAAAAGCAGAAACTCAGACACTCAGACGTGCAGGTTATATCAGCGTATTTTTTAAAGTTGGCTCTGACCTTTTAAAACCCATAAAGGGCCAAGAAATAAGTCTCTGGGCAGAGTACATTAGATAATTGACAGGAAGTTGTTACTATGTCAGTACAGGAAGTGCCCTTCCTGGCTTTCCAAACAGCCCCTCCCTGTAGTCACACAGGGATCTCTGGGAAATGTAGATGTGGGGCCTTAGGCTGTCCTTGTGTGCCTCCTATTCAAATGTATTCATTGGAGAAGGTTGGAGACTACATTATTGGATGGGCCTTAGGTCACAATGGTGGTGAGGGGGATGATCTTGTATTTGACACAGTCCCGCCTTAGGGAGCCTGAAGCCAGATGTCCTAGGCGTAATGTGGGAGGTGAGGGTTTACCTAGGTCCCGGAAAAGTATATTCATTAAACTAGAAGAGGCAGGAAAAAAATCAAGATGTAAAATTACTCTCCCAAATTTATGATACCATTTCTTCATCAATCTCCATGAAGCCACTTGGTTTTTATTCTTCTGCCAGTCATCCCCCATCCTCAGTACCACTTACCACTCCCTGCTCCCAAAGGCTCTGTGTCCAAAATTAGCCTGAATATATGGTGTGAGTGTGATGTGTCCACGGTAACGTGGTGTTGCTGCTTGTGTGTTTTTTTTTTTTATTTTTTATTGATTAAGAAATTACTGCTCCCCAACCCTGTGTCCAAAATTAGCTGAATATATGGTGTGAGTGTGATGTGTCCCCGGTAACATGGTGTTTCTGCTTGTGTTTTTAATTCACGTTAATGATATGGCTGTATAACTCTTGCTGTTTCTTCTGCATTTTTCCTATGCTGCATCTTAAAGCCTGTCTGCAGGACGCAGTTGTTGCTTCATGCCCTCTTTTTGGCACTAATGGTTCTAGTCCATAGCTCTGGTGTCTTGCTGCATGGATTTGGAGGCCTTTCTCTTGGCCTGTGATTGGGTAGGGCAGATGGAGATGCAACTTAGTGCCCCTGTGACCACCACTCAGCCCAGGATGATGGCAGTTGAAGGATAAATACCCTCAAGTTCTACTTGCGCAAGTGGGATTACTCTGATACACAAACAACAATGTCTCCCAATGTCCTCCAGTGAGATTAAGTTCTTATTGTTCACTGAGGGCACCTGCCAATATGATCCCTTTATTGACTCCCAAAGTGCCCCTGACTCTGCCTTTCCCACTCTGTGCTGGTGCTTCCTTAAATCACCTCCCAAAGAAAACACTTAAGTGCAAACCCTCATCTCAGGGTCTGGTTTTGGAGGAAACCAACCAAGTTCATTGAACTTACCAGTACCACTGGTGAAGGGCACTTAGATGCCCTCAACTCCCAGTTCCTACAACACCAGGGTCATGAATACTTTGCTTCACGTGCCCTGCAGGTGGACATGGAACTTTACCTGGACATACACCAGGAATGAGATATGCTGGGGACAGGGCATATGTGTGCTTAATTTCACTGAGCATCACGGTCCCCTTGTGTACAGAGTCCCGATTTCCTCATATCCTGACTGGCACATCTGTTAGCAACCTCTGCATGTCTGCCCATCTCACGTACCTAAGGTGGATAGCTCCATTTTAATTTGCACTTCTCTGAGTACTGGTGAGCTTGTGCAGCTCATCACACTCCTACTGACCCTTCAGGTTTCCTGTTTGTGAAGTAAATGGCAAGGTGTTGAGGACACACCCCTCTGTTGTCACCAGGATACAGCAGCAATGAGGGATAGATGGCAGAGCAGAACTTGTAAGACATTGCTCAGAAGGACATAATCCCATAATACAGCTTTGGGGCTGGACTATTTTGGCACAAAGTATGAAGCAGAGATTGGCTACAATTATTGTCCCCCTGATCCCGGGAACTTTGACCCATGAGAATCTCCAGCAAGAACTGTCCCAGGAATCTGTGATTACAAGACGTGAGGCCAAGCGTGGAGTCAGGCCCAAGGTATGGATCCTGGTGTCTGAGGGCAGTGACAGCTGGGGTGACAGGGCAAGGGTGTCTGTGGGCTCCAGA